CCTTTTCGCCCCGCCCCTCAGCCCCCTAGAGGATCAGCCCCACCATTTGTAGATGCTTCCAGTCAAATATGATAAATATCTATTGCATAGTTCTACAGAAGTCGTTTATAGCAATATAGCCAAATTGCCCCCTTTTGGCCCCACAAGTTGTACAATTTTGAATCCCCACTACCTAGGGATGCTTCCAGTTAAATTTAGTCAAATTCCAATCAGTGGTTAAGAAGAAGAAGTTGTTTGAAGAAATTGTTCACGTACGGACGACGGACACCACGGCACAAGCTCACCTTAGTCCTTTGGACCAGGTGAGCTAAAAATAAAACAGAAAAAAACTATGATCAACTGTTAATAGAATATTTAATGATAGGTATTTGTATTCACAACAGATTCCTCTCATCTGAACAGAAGTTAACGCCACAAATCAATTGTCTCAATGATCTACACGATGAAGCTATCTTATCACTCCTAAACCGTCATTGATAGCCATACATTGTCGCCATAAGCATTTCATTACTCTCAAAAATATACTTGATTGGGATTAAAAATGAAATACATGTATAACAAAGTCCTTACATTTCTAACAGGTCACTTACACACTCATTGGACATTGATAAAACCAGGTTTATGTTTAGAACACAAGGTCAATAAATATCTGGTCTAGAACAAAAAGCATTCAAAAGAAGTTGGCAAACCAGCTGAGTAAAAAAGTACCAAGATTCCAGTCTTCTGTTACTAAAATAAACAATAGAATCTTCTAACGTTATTAAATAAATGAAAAATAATCCAAATGACTACCTAAAACCAAAAAGTGTGAATCAATTGGAGTAAAAATGTAATAAAATTATACCAGCCTCGGCTTTCACGTCATGAAGGTTTTTATTTTAAGATGTTATAACTTCTGTCATTGTGTAAAAAGCTGGCAACAAGATTCATAATAATGAACAGAATATAGTCATATGTCAACTGGGTTTTTTTCTTGTTCTTCTCAAATATAACTTTTTCCAATAAAGAATGCACTTTTGTTTCTTTTTAACTAGAAATCATTGCCCCGAAACACATATATTAAATCTATCATAAATAAAAGTATTGTTGATGTGAATGCGAACTCTTGTTGAGGTATTATTTATTTACTTATATGAAGGATGAAACGCTTATCATTAGTTCGCTGGTTAATATACATACATGAACCATCCCAGACATTGAATGCACCACTTTGCCTAAACACACTGGGAAAGATATGTTTCTGTTAGCTATCAAATTTGCCTTTAATGGTTGCATAGAGCATTTATCAAACCATATCAATACTAAACAGGGACCCAACCAAAGCACATCAACATAAAAAGATTTTAATAGCAATGTGATGTTTCGAGTTAAATATTTCACAGTTTTATGTACTGGACTGTTGGAAGCTAGACACGACCCAATAAAACATGTTTGATCAATTATATGTTAAATAGAAAGAAATTTAAGATGATGCAACTAAGTACAACATTCTCCGACTCGACTAGAAATTTGTTGAACACTACCTAGATCCACCTGATTTGAAAATCGATGGACTGGTTGCATCGTTTTGTCTAAATTTAGACAACAGTTAAGTGCAGCCAGTTATTTATCAATTACAATGCAAGCTTTCTTCAGTAATCTGAAATGAAAAGTTTAATTTACAAACTGCTTCTTCCATCCCAATTGTTTTCAAATCGGCGGATGTCATTCCATTGGACAGAAAATCAATCACGCTCATCTCTGATTTGTCATAACATTGGCTAATGAAGCTTGACCTTTTCTCCTACTTAAAGACATTACGGACCATATATATAATTCTATGAATAATTATCATAAACGAAATACATAGTGTACTGTAATACAGTAAATTTTCATGATATTTCATGCATACTTAATTGAAAATTCACCTTCCTGTACGTGTAAGCCAGGATATCAATGTGTACTTTTCACTTGACATGTAAGCAGGTCATGATGTGTGATGTACAATGCTTGAGAATAAATTATTGTGCGATACCAGGATTTTTGAGTGAGGCTACATATAAATCTATACAAATCGGGTGAAATATAGCTAGATCATCTACAGAGAAAAAAAAATCTTGATCTTAATTAAAAAAATATTCATTTGCAACAGAAATCAATATGATGAATTGTTGGCCATGGTAGTATGACTGAACGTGTTAAACTAAATTACACACAAATATTCTAAAGCATTTATACTTAAAGTAACCACATTACATCAGAAACGAAGATTTGCTTAATAAATATTGACAATTCATTCCTTACATGATCATTTAAAACTGATTTTAGCTCTCTCAAACATGCATTTTATGAAAAACTAAATCCAATGCAATGAACAGCTTTTCATTGGTAGAAATCTGAAGATGAAAACAAACATTCAATTTCTAACACACTAGAAATCACACATCATTATAAAGGTAATGATAATGTTACAAAAACTTTCCACTTTTTTTCAAATATATTGATTTTGAATCAAGCTGTCAACAGAAAAAGAAAATCACTTCAGTTTCACGACTTTGCTTCTGTCACTATTACTGATAATAAACGATAATAATAAAAATCAATCCAACATACCTTCATTATTTTAATAGGCTTGAATAAATACACAAGACATTGAATATGGAACCTGTGCTCCTTGTGAATCTATGTTATCTCTCGAAAACAGAAGTGATTCACAGTAGTACATAACGCCAGAACCCACAAATGTTAATAAAAATATCTCTTAGGAAGAGAAATACTGGAGTTCAAACTGACAAGGACATCTGAGAAGATATGACATGCCAGATTTACCATAATACCAAAATCTCTGTATAATGTCCCCCAAACCTATACACAATAAAATAATCTACCCGATGTCTAAGTCAATCATCAAACAGATCATATCCTACAGAAAATCTTACAAACGTCTATGGATTCATGTAACATAATAATAATAATAATAAAGTATTGTACAAATATGGCATTTAGTTAATGCCATGAAAATCAAACACTCCCCATCCATTTATCAAGCTTTTACATCGGCTACAATCTTTATCATCTCACAAATCATCCGCTCGACCATCTTATTATAAATCTTCCAGGTTCAAAAAAAGGACGCCCTGCATACATTTACATTTCTGTAACTTATACAAATAATTTGGACAAATATACTAAACTGTATTATGTGTCTCATATGAAGGCGTCTCCAAATATGTGAATTGTCCATTTGAAATTATTTGAAATGTATCAAAAAACTAGCTGCAATAAACAGTTATGCTGTACTGGTGTCGGGTACAATCGTACAGCTGGCATAATCTTTCAAACCCTTCAAATGAGAACAAACAGCCATACATAAACAGGGTTCCGTAAAACATGAGCTTAATTAAAAAAAAAAAAACTGCACTGAAAATTATTTAACAAGAAAAAATGTATAAAACAGAAATACTGTATCTTCAGCCACTTTACATCATAAATGGAACAAACTATTACAAGACAGGAAGGTTAACCTCCCGATACTTGGTGTAAACATCACGCTTATTGAATGTTAATATCATACATGTTTTAATGTTTCACTGGATAAAACTGTACGATGAGTTTTGCTAAAAACATGTTTTAATGTTTCATTGGGTAAAGCTGTACTAAAGGTGCTATTGTATAAGCATTCTTGAGTGTTTCTTTGGGTAAAATGGTATGATGTACTCAATTAAAAACATGTTTTAGTATTTCTCGGAGTAAAACAATGAAACGCTTTGTTATTAACATCAGTTTTAGTGTACCTCTGGTTAAAACTATGATGTATTTTGTGAGAAAGCTTAGCTATTTGTTTTCTCTTGGTAAAAACTACATACCAAATGGGTAAAATGTTTTGAAGTTTATCTTATCTTCTGTATTACCAATCTATCTCTTCAATTCTGACTAGTTATGCCCCCTTATGCTTTAAACATGACATTATGACAGAACCTTGTCCTCTCCCTCCCTCCGTTCACATGACTGCCCCATTTAACCGACCCACAATTCTTCTGTCACCCCTAGAGTATGATATATGTCACCCCTTCGTGTAGGACAGATATCCCATGAAAAGCGATAAATAAAATATGATGTCAAAATCTGCTCTTGCAAATCAGGATAACACACAGACTACAAATGATACAAACTATTGATTTCAAACACAGCATTGGAAGGATGGGAGAATAAGAATCGACCACTTTGGTAGGCCTAGACATGCCAGAGAAAATCTCAACCCTTGGGATAAGATTCTTGAATGCCTAACCGTTGGACACATCAAGCTTGGATTTGACAATGTAGAACATTGTATCACTAGTCAAATTGAGTTTCTGTGTTGTTCCTTCATAGTAGGGAAAGATGCTATAGTAATATCCTGAATCTGTGTGAGTAAGATGTAAGACAGTTTTCACTCATCAAAAATTGTCGAATTTAATTAATTTAAAACAAGACATCCTTCACAAAATATATTTTATAATATTGTTCATCATTACTACCCAACCTTCACCGATTGTTGGGAGACTACAGTTAGGTAGGTCACTGTAGTATATATAAAACTAATTGCATGAAGTCATTAATTTGAATCTTGAGTTTCTGACAACATAGTCAACAAAATGTGTACATTCTGTCACATGAGCATGCATACACTCACAAGACTTGCAGAGTTTCAGTCAATATGACTTAGTTTAAAAGTGAGATTTGATGTGATTCAATGCCAACATGCTAGGGAGAATGGAAAAGAATATATACATATGATGTGAAATATCAACAGTTAAAAACCTGCATGGTGAAAGGATTCCATGTGATATTTGANAAAAATAACAACACTTTGTCAGGACCATGAGGCGATCATTCCTACCAACTTTCAGTTCAATCGGCCCAGCAGAACTTGACTTTAAGTTTGAAATGTAAAATGTTAACGGACGACGGACGACGGACGACGACGGACGAAAACGGATAGCAATAGGTCACTTGAGCTAAAGCTCAGGTGACCTAAAAATGTATTAAAGTAATTCACCAAATAAATTCATTAAAAAAAAAAAAAAATCAGATAAACATTTTGCTACAATTTCATCTAAAATAGCACATCAAACTTTCATTCCAAAACAAAAAGAAAAATAAATTCTCTCTTAATGCTATGCACATTTTTCTGTACAGAACAAAAATACAACTTGATCTACACATGGTGAGCAGCACAAGTATTCAGGGCTTTGACACCAAAAATCCTTCTTTCCTGACTTCTGTTTTCCGACGACTACCCCGCCATGCATAATCAAAATTTTCCTTTATGTATTCCTCTGCCTTGATAAGACTGTCTTTAGCACGACCAGCAATAACGCCTCGTCGAACACAGATGGTACCTTTTGCTTTGACAATGCGCTGGACCTGTTGTCGCACTTGTTGCGAGGTGAAGCAGTCCCATGCTCGGACAGCAGGCACACCGTGTCCTACCACGTAAGTCACCACATATTTACTGTTGCTGCCAGGGGGCACCACTGCTGCCTCGTATAGGGCTTGAGTGAAGCCCTCGCCTTGGTACAATGCCTCGTTTGAGTGACCTCCGCACCAGCTCCGTGACTTGGACCAATCAGCCCCGTTTGATTTAGGGGAGATAATTGAAGTCCATTGACTCCACTTGACATTACTGAGTGGTCCTGTGCTGAACTTTGACCCACTGATGTTTTCTCTCTGCTCAGTTTTACTGGTTTTATTCTTCTGCAAAATTAAATCCAGATTATTTACTTTAAACAAAACAAGTACATACAGTATGTAAAACAACAACTTATCATATTATTTTTTCATGTTGCTTTTAGTCTACACATGCCATACATCAATATACAAAAGTGAATGATTTATCTGAAGATGCTATGTACTGATTGGTGATGAACACAAAAATCTGGCCATAGTACACAGAAGTCATGAATGGAAAATATAGTTAATAAATGAAACCAGTGTAAAATCATCTGAATGATTCATGTTTAACTTTTATAAACTACAGGATTAAAACCTTTTAATTTTTTTTATCTAGATCAACCAAAAGAATTTTACCATACAAAACAATTTTCCAAGTAAGTTTGAATTATTTCCTGCTGAAAACAGAAAGAAATAATACCCACAATTGTTACTTCCCTACATATACTACTGAGTACTGTAACTATATATACCCCTCCCCAGGGGAGAATGGGTGACCTAAGCATACCTGCTAACCCCCCGAATCTTCCAATAGGACCTAGGTAATATTAATAACAATTTATATAAAGCATCTAAGAATGCTCCATCCATTAAGATGATTTGATTGAAGTACATCTAAGTCTGAGGAAGAGGATTTTTTTCAAATATTAGCCGATTTCCCCTCTTGTTCAGGGGTGAGGCAGCTGGATCTTACTTTGTCATACCATCTAATTGCCATCTCATAAATATTTCAACAAAGTATATATTATTTTCTGCTGGAAATGGACAAAATATACCCAAATGTGTTACCTCGTTATTTCCCTATTCAAACTGAAGTTAACTTTACCCGATCCTCAAGGGAAAATGGCTGACCAGCTGGGGATTATTTTTACGATTTAGATAATGCATGAAAGGTTCTTTTCATCCATATAGAGTATTTGATTCTAGTACATCTGGTTCTGGAGAATAATATTTTTGAAATAATGGTCAGTTTTCCCTCTGGGCCCTGTCTGGCCCCTAGGATAGGTGAGGGAACTCCAGTTTAACAATCCGATACTCTCTTCCACCAAGGATGATGTTTACAAAGTTTGAAAGAACCTATTTGCCAGTTCTCAGATAAGTCAAAAATGTGAAGCGCTTATGGACAGCAAATGAAAAGCGTCGCAATCATATCGGGTACTTTAGCAATCGGCTAAAGAACAATCATTTAGGATTGCAATTTATCAAAAGCTCACCTGTGGAGATTTAGGCTTTACAGAATTTTTCTTCTCTGGGCTACTCTTCATCTTTTTGATGTCAGGCTTAGCTGGTGTTTTCTTTGCAGGGACAGCCTTTACTGGTGTTTTCTTTGCAGGGACAGCCTTTACTGGGGTTTTCTTTGCAGGGACAGCCTTTACTGGGGCTTTCTTTGCATGGACAGCCTTTACTGGTGTTTTCTTTGCAGGTACAGCCTTTACTGGTGTTTTCTTTGCAGGGACAGCCTTTACTGTGTTTTCTTTGCAGGGACAGCCTTTACTGGTGTTTTCTTTGCAGTGACAGCCTTTACTGGTGTTTTTTTTGCAGGGACAGCCTTTACTGGAGTTTTCTTTGCAGGGACAGCCTTTACTGGGGTTTTCTTTCCCTTGTTTGCTGCAGACATGCCTAATTTCTTGGTTTCTTTCTTAACAGGTTTATTAGTAGCCTTCGTCTTCTGTTTCTGTTGAACATTTGATGGTCTACCTGGTTTGTTTTTCGGTACATTCTTTTTAGCTGTTTTTGACGATTTTGTAGGTTTAATGACTTTTGAAACAGGTTTTTTCTTTTCCTTCACCAAGCCTTTTCCACCTGCTTTCTTTTTATCCTGAATTTTTTTGGCAGCTTTTAATTTTGCAATCTTAGCTTTGCCTTCTTTCTTTTTCAAACTTAGTTTGGCCGACACAGCCTTACGTTTACTGCTGTCCTTTGATGAACTCAATTTTTTGTTTGCAACAGCCTTTTTCTTGGACTTTGCTGAAACTTTGGTCTTTGCTATAGCTTTTGACTTGATCTTAGACTTTTTGTCTTTTGTCTTCACAGCAGTTTGTACTTTTTTAGGTATTTTCACTTTGGAAGTAGCTCCCATTTTTCCTAAACGCTTTAACTTTGCTGCCACAATCCTTTGAACAACAGAACTTGGGGATTTCAATAATGTTTCTTCTTTTTTCTTTGTTGTGATGTTTGACTTAGTGCTTTCCATCTTTTTATTTGCTTTTCCCACTGCTTTGGGCGTTTTCGCCTTACTAGGCCTACCAGGTGATTTAGTCTTTTCTACTTTCTTCACTGGCCTTCCACGTTTTTTGGGAGCTTCTGGTGTTTTGCGTGGCCTTCCACGGGGTTTTGAGGCCAATTTTTTCAAGGGCTTTCCAATCACTTTGGACTTTTCTTTTTTCTTAGGGGATATTTCCTTCAGCTTTGAAGTTCCTAATTTCTTTGGAGGTCTTCCTCTTCCTCTTGGTTTCGCAGATTCAACAATTTTACGGGGCCTGCCAACTGATCTCTTTGGCTTATTATCACTTGCAACTTTCTTCAATTTTCCACTGCTTTTCTTCTTTTCAGTACTGTTAGTCTTCTGTGATAACTTCTTCTTTTCCACAATTTTTTCCTTGAGTTTTTTTGTTTTGGGTTTGGGCTTCATGAGTTTGGTTGCTGGTGTTTTAATTTTAGATATCTTTTTCACCTTTTCAACTGACGCTTTCTTTACTTTGTCAACGCCCTTTTCCTTAATCTTTGTCAGTTTTTTGGGACTGAGGCTGCCAGATGACTTGTACTTCTCCGACGGTACTTTCGTTAAGGCCTTTGATGTTGATTTAGGTTTCTTTACGTCAGAAGTGCTGGCTTCATTTTCTGAGGGCCTCTTCGTGGCAGATAATGCTTTAGAATCTGTTGTCATTTCTAGGATCCTGGCTTTCAGTTTATTCTCCCTCTCTCTTTGTTTGAGGGATTTGTTGTCGGCAATATTTTTCAGAGAACTAAACAGGCGCTCCAATTCCAAGTCAAGCGTCCCTCCATTGCTCCCCGACTTCTTTGCTGCAGTTCGTACCTCATGTTCAAAACCCTGTAATGAAGAAACCATTTAAATGTATTAACTTCCTTGTAACATGTATACGAATGTACTAGATCAAAATCCCAATATAATTTGAAACTAAAATGAAAGATTTTACAAAAGTTATGAATTCTAAATTTATGAAGGGTGATCATGAGAAGATGGTAAAAAATTCTCCCTTTAACACCAAAACAATACCAAAGAGGGAAAACATCACCTAGCAAATATGTGTAGTTTTCTGTAGATTTTTTGAAACACATATTTTTGAGTTTATCTACTCATTTTTTGTTGTTGGGCTTTTTGAATATTTTGAAAACCTGCTCTATGACCTAGTAAGTAACCTCAACATTAGGACCTTTTAAACCCCTATATTACCTTTACCATTTGCATTGCATCAACAAATGAAATTCTCAAATAATCTAGAAGTCCGGCAAAAGATTAAAAAGTTTTTATATTTGCTACATCCACCAGAAAAGGGAAAAGCAATAGACCTATTGTCTTTGGTGTGTAAGTTCTAAGACGGTGACGGAAGCTCTGTTGTAACAATGTCTATACCTTGAGATGTCGAAGCCCTCCTTCCCTCAGACATATCGACATAAGGGTTTCATAGGTAAAGTCTTTGTTCTCGATGCGCAGGTGAGCTCCGCCCGTCATCTGTGATATCTGCTTGTAGAAGTTGGAGGTGTATCCCACCTGTAGAGCGTAGATCCTCACTGCCTGAAAACATTTATACAGCAATAATTAATATCAGCAGAAGATGATTTTAATTTCAGAAAGTCTTCTTGCGATTAACATGATACAATATCTCAAGAAAACTAAGGGGGGAGATGAGTGGGTAAGCATCATGTGCATCCTGATCAATTTTTTTTTTGAAATCGTCTGAATCTTAGTTTTTATCTTAACTACCAATCAAAAGACTTAAATACTCAAATTCCAAAATTTGACGAAAATACTACATGTAGTTTTATTTTAAAACCAACTTCCAGTATGTCTTGACTAACTGCAATTACACTGAATCATTAAATTTACTGATATTAAATGGATATGAAGCACTTGAAACTATCATTCTTTTAGTTGGTCAATTCCATTAAAAAGAAAATTAGGGATCCATAGCTGGATCAACCAAGGTATATGTATTCTGTACACCTTGCTGATCCCACTACCAAACTTCTACAAAAATAAGGGAGATAACTGCCATATTTACCATCTCATTGAGTTGTTTGGTTTCCTGTCTCCAGTCAATATCATTCACGAAGTCATTGAATTTGTATCCTGGTTCATGTGGGTCGGAATCTCCAATCATAACAAGACTACGCTGACTGCCTGGACTCCAGGAAAGGGACTCTCGGACTTTGCGCAGCACCAATTCATAACATTCGTCCGCATCACCACCATGTGTGATGGGAAGGTTTTCAAAGAATGTGTCGACCTCATCTACACTAGCCCCAAAGTCTATCCATTTAATGAGATATCGGTCATTGGCCAGGTCATAATAATCACCATGAGCAACAAAGGCCAGACGGATTCCTGGCATGTCCTGTTGGACACGATTCATAAGTTCGCGCATCCTGTAGCCGGCTTCTTCCATGTAGTTGTACATGGACCCCGTCGTGTCAAACGAGAACACAATTTCTCTAGGTCCTCCAGTCATTTTCCGTGGAGATTTGCATGGAGACTTGGATGGAGTACCCATACAGGTGAGAGTTGGAACCGTGGCATCATCATCGAAGTCTTCGCAAGACGTTGCATCATATACTTCCGCCTGAAGGACAGGTGGTGCATCGCTATCGTTGTCGCTTGTGTTGCCTCCTAGACTGTGCTTTGTTGGCGAGTTGTCTTGGTCTAATATGTGCAGAACAGCGTTAACGTCATAAACAGATTTACGCACTGGAGAAACATCAGTGTCCGTCATGTCCCAAGTAAATGGAGCAGCTGATGTCTTTTCCTTCCCTTTCTGATCATATACAGCCAGGGATTCAAGTGAAGGCAGCATCTGATCATCAACATCTTTGTTCATGATTCGACCTACATAAGACCCAGATGATAGCCTAAGGACACTCTTTTCTATGTTCGAGGCCTTATTGCCAGACCAATCATCTGAAGAATTAGTCTGAATTAATGTTGTAGTTTCTTTCCTCATTCCAGGTACATCACTTGTTGATACACCGATATCTGACGAATTATCTTTTTGGGGACTAGAAGCTGGAGAAATATTGAACACAAAATCAGACCCTGTCGCCCCAGCAGGTTTTGTTGGCACCAGGGTAGGGAATCTTGGTAAGGTCGGAAGTGAGTTCTTCGCCTTCAATCCACCTGCAATCTTTTTGGGCACATTTGGACTTTCACTTATTTTTGAGAATGTAGATTTCTTGAGCTTGGCTGTCTTCTGTGTCTGGGTGGGGATAGCCCGGTCTAGGGTTACACTGGTGGACTGCTTCTTCAGTTTAACTGGGAGCTTTTCACCAGGAGCAGTAGAAGCCTTCCGCTTCACCCCAGGCATGATGGCTCTGTAAAAATGAAGAAAAACCTGAAGATAATAATAATAATTGGAGGTTCTTATATACCGTTTTATCACAACCTAGGTCGTCTCAAAGCGGTTCACAAATTAATATCCGTGGTTATAGGGCCTTTGCAACCAGCCAATACATTTCTGAACTCCCTGGGGAGCATACAGCCAGAGCTGCCATTTCGGCGCTTACAGCTAGCATTCAAAAATTCTAGCACTGCCCAACCACATACTCATTTACAGCTGAGTAGACTGGAACAAGCAGAGTAAAGTATCTTGCTCAAAGATACAACACATTGTCGTGCCGTGACGCGAACCTGCAACCCTTCGATCACGAGCCCGGCGTCCTACCACTGGACTACCGTGCCCCCAAGATAGAAGACAGGTTTATAATAGATAAGTGAAAAACAGATTTTAAACCTGTTTACGTCACTGCAATCGATCAGTATTCAACTTATTGAACTACTTGATGACTTTTCAAATCATTGATCAGAATCCAAGGGTGGCTTGATGACTTAATTTGCCTGCAGTTCAGTGATCACACAAAAAAAAATATAGAAATATTATAGCTTAATTCCCTAATATGTATTTTTACAGACTACTGCCTTTACATTCATGTTTGAACTGTATCAAGTATGTAGGCCTGCCTCATTTCCAATATCACATAGTCTTTTATAGGCAACACTATCTTAGTTGAAACTTACTATATTTCAGATGTTATATATAATGAACAGGTTAACTGGAATTTTGAAATGTGTTGACCCCTCCCCAACTATTTTTATACGTATTACATTTATGTACATGTCATGTCAAGGAGTGCTGTTAAGCTATTATATAACTTACAGTTGTTGGAATTTGCATGTTTCAAATCTGTTTGTATTATTATAAAAAAAAAATGTATAATAACTTATTTTAAATGGGGTTATTTTCTGTATCTATAGATATGTGTGGTTATATCCTTATTGTGTTAAGTGTTTTTACTATACATACATGTACAAACAGAACTCAGGATCTAGAGTTTGGTTTGGTTTTATTTTGTTTTTATGCCCTATGAACAGCTAAGGTTCAAAGACCCAGGGCAGTGGTGATTTCATAGATTTCAAAACAAACCTGTCATTCTTCCCAATTAAAAATTGTACATGTTGCATATACTGTTGCAGGTCCCATCTGTCAAATTTCTTTTATATAGTTCTTTTTTATACATGTATTAATATTGGTGTCAACCTCTTTTTTATGAACACTGCCACAACTGGGTACCGAATTTACATTTTATCATTATTTAGGAGGTCATTTCGCTAAATTTTGCTGAAATTGTATAACATCTGCCATGTTTCCTCCCACGAATCCGTCATCCGATCCAAGGCTAGCTCGAGGTGTCGCTTTTTAAATTCAGTGCGCTTTTTACTCGACTTTCTAACATGACCGACCTTTCAGACCAACGCCTTTGAACACTTTTTACCCTTTACATTCTAATTATCTACATTAACTTTGTGCAGTCTTAATATACTCTCATCTGCAAGTACAGATCGAGTATAACGCAACAAGGGATGAGATACCTGCATGGCCATTTATCAAACTCAGGCTTTCGACCCGAATCGAGACCGGTGCGGCTGGAACGCTGAACATCAATGAAATATCGACATAAACCGTTAAATGGGCGGTATGATTCACACGCAAATAAAGCAATAATAAGTACACTACATTTCTACAACATTTACCTTTTTGCTCGTCTTCTTGTTAAATATTAATATGTGCTATTTTGCCGGTCTTTCGACAACCGGGCAAAACAACATGGGTCCTAAAACTTATGTGTAGCGTACGTTGCCGAAGCCAGCGGAGAAACGAGAAATTTGATTGGCTAATTTCAATAACAAGTTCCTGCTTGACCTCACAGGACGCGTTCAAGTTAGCTTTGGTCCACTGAACACAGTGTGCGCAGATCTAGAGACGTATACATATACGTCTCTGGTGTGCGGAAGTGTGGGATCAATGTTATTACTATTTATGCATATAAAATGCTAATTAAAGGTATCATTAAAGCCCTAGCACAAATTCTGTCAATTAAGGCTAATCGGAGGAGGATATTTCCTATTTCCCCACCTACCCCCTCCCCAACACCACGACACTTGTAAATGTCAACATTAAAAATTAAAATAGTATAGTTCAAAAAAGAAAAAGAATATAAAGCGATTGTTGTGCAAGTGTTGTACAGGTAATTATAGTAAAATAAACTCAAGGATAATTAATACGGAACGCCAAATTGGCATATATTCAAATAATTGCACATCTCTTCAAATAATTGAAGACATACAATTCAATTGAAGATAGGTACAATTCAATTAAAGATTTATAGGTTCAAATATGACGAATTAAACATATTTTCAATTGAATTGAACCTATCTTTAATTGAATTGGACCTATATTCAAGTATTTGAATATATGTTTATTTTGCTTTTCATATGGAATATAGATCGCCAAATTAACATATATATTCAATTAATTGTACCTATCTTCAAATAATTGGTTCAATTCATTTGAGGATGTGTTGTATTTGAACCTAGGTTCAATTCATCTGTATCTTAGGTTCAATTAAATTGAAAATAGGTTCAACACCATTGGAGATACATAATTATTATGTAGGTACAATTCAATTGGAGATAGGTAAAAATTAAAAAAATATGTACCTAACTTTAGTAATTTAAAGATAGGTACAATTTAAGTGCACCCATCTTTATTGAATTGCACCTATCTTCAAAAGAATTGAATCTATCTTCATTTTATTGTACCTTTCTTCAATTATTTGAAAATAGGTCCAATTAATTGAATATATATGTTAATTTGGCGTTCCATAGAGTAAGAGACACAAAGCCTGATATGATATGTATAACGGAAGTTAAAAAAACACCTCTACAGGATATGAAAGCAATAGTAGCAGAATTCATCATTAAACGAGGAATTGGTTATCAAATGTTCAACACGAATGTGGACAATAACTTGGGAATAGGCATATGGTTTTGTTTGTTAATAAATAGTTACGGAAACCGACTTCAGGAGAAACTGCTTCTGGACTGAACAGCAACAGGAGACTTTCAGTAGGTCAGATCCAGGCACATGATAATGATACCAATTATAACACGTACCTTTTGATCATATAAATCATTTAAATGTACATTTAACGTTGAGATTATTACTGATTGGAAATGAAAATCTGGCTTTGGATACAAATTGTGATGTATTCAAACAAGTGCAAACTTTTATTAGATCCAGTGGAAGATTTTAACATGTTTCGATTATGAACTTGACTTAAAAATATGTGTTTTTTTGTATGTGTATGTGTTACTTTAAAAAATCGCTTCATACTACTATGGATTGTAATTGACAGTCTATATCATCATCTGTTGTTTTGAATTATTGTTGTAAGGAGATGGCTTCATAAGTTGTAATAAACTGTGCCAAATCCTATTTCCAATTTTGGTTAATAAAATATGTTTAAAGTCAAAGTATAACACGTTAGAAACTATATAGCTACTACCAGATGAAGCGTATAGAGTAATGTCTTTTCACTACCCAAATATAATATAACATTGTGAGACTTGGAATACACAAGGCAATACCGGTAGTTGGCCTACCAGATCACAAGAATATATAATCTGAACTTCATACAGAAACTTAATTCAAGAGAACTTCCGGTTCCAACATTTGGATTACCACACCAGATAGCCTGAGTTTCCTCTGGCCCCCACACAAGTCTGGGACAATTTGACAGATTGATATCTAATGTGGTCCACTCGGCCACAACTATCACCAGGAAAACCACTAAGAAATGCTATGATAAAGCCAAGTATTCAGAAATAAAGGACCGGTTATTGATGGCATACATATTGACTACCATAAACCCTTCAACACAGTTCGTTTGCGAATCATCAGTAACACAAAGGACTTGAGGCGTTATGTGTCATTTTTGGCCTCATTAAAGTAAAAAATTCAAATTGAATTTATTTACCAATTTCTGTTCTAAATATCATATTGGTTAATTGGGGGATATCTTTCTTGGTGGAAATGTTTTCCAATGCGCATGCGTAGATGCCCTACACATTCAGAAATGAAAGCCTCCGCAAGCGACAAACAAAAAATCCGTTTTACGAATGAGCACTGATATGACAATGTTTAAGCATATCAAATATTTATTTGTTTGTTGCATGCGGAGGCTTTCAAAGATCAAAAGAGTGTTTATAGTTAAATTCCTTCAAAATGGACAATTTTCCACCAAATAGCGCACAACGGACGATCACGAAAATGCGGGTTTGTATCTCTCTTTGCAATGCCATATCTCCTTAACCAGTTGTCGAATGAATTTGAAATTTCATATTTGCGTACTTCATTTATTCCAGATTACGAATATTTGTACTAATTCAAAATCCCTGCTGAGGCCAGAAATGACTCTTAACGCCCCTAGTCGTTTACTTTCAGCTTTCTCTCGGGTCTACAACAGAAGGAGCTCTAGAGTTTGGGCTTACATCTGTTAGTTATTTTTATTAATGAGCTTCCAAGCTCAGTGGAATCTGAAATGTATCTCTTTGCAGACGATAAAAAAAATCTCCAAAGTTTTTATAAATGAAGAAGAATAAAACGTCCCTGCAACCGACAATGAAGGCAGCCAATGGAGGCAAGTAACTACGGGGATATGATTGAAAGAAATAATAGAAAAGAACTAGCGATATATTAAAGTAATGCAATGGAGCAGCTGGTTTCAGGATTTTGACGTTACATCAATATATAGTAGAAATTTAAAAAAAAATCCCTCTGTACTTTTTTCTAGTATAGGGACATTTAAGAAAAAATGTAAAATATACTTATCATATTGAGAGAACTTCAAACTCCTGTGGTTTCCAAAGTCTTCAATTCCCTAAAAGCCGAAAAATATATAAACTTTGGATATTTTACAACATTTATGAAACAGGTTATTTCAACTTATATTAATCACTATTGTTAGACCAAATGTTAGCGCGCGGGGGTATTAATGTGGGAGGAAACTGGAGTACCTTGAGAAACATACGTGGTCTGCCGGGCAGGTCAGGTGACCCCATACCTTTTCACGTTTTTTGTGTGTGTGTATTTTAAGAGCTTGTTTTTCTTCCTGCATGTTTGTATACTTGTATTTCAATTCTAATGTGCTTATGTTTCTTAATGCATGTTTTACTACATTTATGCACACTGTGATATTTATATATGTTCATATGGCACGACTAAAAATAAAGTTTCTTGTATCTTGTACGGTGGTGAAAGGCGAGTGCGTTATCCACTGAACCTGAGAATTTGTTACAGCTATATTTGGACCTAAACTAAGGTGTTCAGAGTAATTTTACATATTTTATGGTTTAGATCGACTTCCGATAAAAATGCCACCCAAATGATTATATAATATATAAAATTATATGGGTCAAAGAAGTAATATTGACGGTAAAATCCCATATAACACTGGATCCTAATGGAGGTATGTCCGTAGGATACGAATTACTTAAAATTTTATATGGGGCAAAGAAGTAATTCCAACAGTGTGGACAAGTTTAGGTTGTCAAATTTTCGGAGCGATCCGCTCTTTTTTCAAGACACAGTGAAACAGAACAGTTACATGTACATATACATATACATCATATTACAAGAAGATACAACTGATATACTATAATTGAAAATATAGCTATTATAAAAAAAACAATAGTCCCCTCGGCTAAAGACAGCCGAAGGCAGCAATTAAGCTGAGAGCATCGCGGACAAGGAACGCTAGATGCACTATCACATAAAGCGAGTCATCGAGAGATATCAAAAACGTGGAACATGTGCATGTGGAAATCTGGTCCGGTAAATGTGAAAAAACTCAATTTCACATTTACCGGGCCAGATTTCCACATGCACATGTTCCACGTTTTTGATATCTCTCGTTGACTCACTTTATGTGATAGTGCATCTTGCGCAAGAATAGGTCCTCTACATCAGCGTTCCGAAAATTTGACAACCTAAACTTTTCCACACTGTTGGAATTACTTCTTTGCCCCATATATAAAATTATATATATACGAGATAATCATTGGGGTGGCATTTTTACTAAAAGTCGATCTAAACCC